CAGGCCACTTTAACATGCCCCGTTAAAATGAACACATGACTGCTTTGTATGTAACTTTTAACAGGGTAGCGAATTATGCTAAAAATGGCTAATGTACTGAATCCACAGATTTTTTTTTATTGCATTCCCATTGAAAATCTATAACTCTCCCACTATGAGAAATGAATTTCAATCCCTGAATGCATGTCCTGAATTATTACTTTAACAATTAACAGCAGCAGTAAAACTGTATCACAGCATTATGGTTAAACTTTACAATTAATCCGTATTTCACATGCTGTACTGTACGGATCATGGGTTATGATCTGTTACACCATTCGTGTGTATGTTTACCTTTTCTGTTACAATACTTCACATTTTATTCATTGCTCAAGGCACTTCTTACGCTGTATATATGAATAATGTATGTACAGCCCTATATGAATAAAATATAAACATGTCACCAGCGCTGCTGCAAATGGTGACGAGGCGATGGATGAAGTTGGTGGCCTCTCCCTGCACTCGCAGGAACCCAAGATCATCTTCCATGGATCAGGTACTCGGCTCCCTCTGCCGGAAACACGCTTGGTGTGTTTACCTGGGCTCATCGCGGTCCATCGCTCATGCGTGTTCCCGCCGCAGGCAACGGGGGGCCCGACAGGGAGGAGATTGTGGTGGAACTGCAGGAGGCCGTGTTCGTGTCCGAGCTACATGGTGAGCACATGGCCCTCAGGGGCCTGGGGCCTGAGCAACTCAGCTCCATGGTGATCCAGGACTGCGCCGAGGACACGGTGGCCGAGTACGTACACTGCGCTGAGGACGGGCTTGCACTGGGGGAAGCTGTCGCAGTGGAGACCTGTGTCGTGTCGCCCCGGGGCCTCGCTGTGGAGGAGGAGCTCCAGGTGGACGTGGTTCCTGAGGAGGTTCCAGAAGCCAACAGCCCAATTCAGGACAGTCAGGGTTCCTGTGAGGACTACCTGATGATCTCCTGTAAGCACCGGCATTCCCAGTGGCTCCTGAGTGGTGACCAAAACCTCCATCTCCGCGGTAACTGAGCCCTCCCTATCCCCGGCTTCCTAGTGGACGAGGTGGGGAAGATGGTCCAAGGCGGCGAGGCTGAGGTGATGGTTGAGGGTGCCGAGGAAGACGGCGACGAGGAGAAAGAGGTCATTAAGGTGTATATCTTCAATGCTGACCCTGAGGATGCAGACCTAGGTGAGTCAGCCAGCCAGGCAGGGGTGTTTGGACACTTGGTCCAGGCCCTTCTGACAGTCCTTGTGTTTTCTGTATCTCAAGGTGGCGCTGTGGACATCGCCGAGGGCCAGATGGAGGGGGAGGATGGGGTGGAGTTGCTGGATGGCACTGGGCACCAACTTCAGGAAAAGACAGTATACCTGTCTGTGGAGGATGAGGGTGAGTGACGGCAGCTGATCTGTGCCTCTCTCTGTGCCTCTGTCTGTCCTGCGAACGCTGACTGGCGTGTGTCTCCCTTGAGGTGGGACCAAGGTGACCGATGAGGTGTATATGGAAGTGGTGGTGGGGGGCGAGGATGCCGGTGCCGTCGAGAGGCCGCATGGCAACACTGCTCTCAGCAAGGACTTCATGCCAGTATCCTGGGCTGCCACCTACAGTGAGTGTCCCGCTGCATGGCCACCTGTGCCATCTCACAGCGCCCCCTGAAGGCCTGCGTGTGTACATGCGTGTGCTCGGCAGGGGATGAGCAGGCAGAGGTCCCGGAGGCCCGGAATGGGGCAGCCAGTGCCCTGCTACATGTCGAAGAGTCTGGTGGCGAGTCCAGTGAGCCCAACAGAACTAACAGCCATCGCAGCAAGAGCCGCAAGCGAGCCGGGCTGCGACAGGTCCAGACTGGTGCGTAGACCCGCCCGCTGCAGGAGAGACGCCACCGTATAGTGCTAGGGAGACCGGGGGTTCCTGTAAGGTAATGCTTTAGGCTGCACCAGGCTCCTCCTGCGGTCATGTTGCATGGTTACTTTGTCCAGTCACACTGTTATAGTCACTGACTCACCTTGACTCACGCCCCTGACTTGTGTATGACCTTCGGCCCATCCCCCAGCCATCATCATCGGCCCATGTGGCCAGCCGCTCACCGTCTACCCCTGCAGCCTCTGCGGCAAGAAGTTCAAGTCACGCAGCTTCCTGCGCCGCCATGCCCGCAACCAGCACTCGCAACTGCAGTCACCGCAGCATCACAGGAAGTACCGGTGCAAAGACTGTGACTTCAGCACCAACAAGAAGGCTGTGCTGCACAGCCACATGGAGGCACACACGCCTGGCACCAAGGCTCCAGCAGCGCTGTACGCACACAAGCTGCAGGGGCGTGGCACAGAGGCCTGGCTGCCGGCGAGCCCTACCCCTAAGATGCATAAGTGCAAGTTCTGCGACTACGAGACTGCTGAGCAGGGCCTGCTGAACCGCCACCTGCTGGCTGTGCACAGCAAGAGCTTTCCGCACATCTGCGTCGAGTGCGGCAAGGGCTTCCGGCACCCATCAGAGCTGCGGAAACACACGCGCACCCACACGGGTGAGAAGCCCTATGGCTGCCCCTACTGTGGCTACCGTTCCGCCGACTCTTCCAACCTGAAGACGCATGTGCGGAGCCGGCACGGTGGGGAGACGGGCCACCGGTGCGAGCGCTGCACATTGGCCTTCCCTGTGCGCGAAGAACTGCTGCAGCACGTGCTTTCGCATGAGGAGCCACGCACTCACCAGTGCGCCCACTGCCAGCACCGCAGCTCCAATTCCAGTGACCTGAAGCGCCACGTCATCTCAGTGCACACCAAGGACTACCCGCACAAGTGCGCTGTCTGCGCCAAGGGCTTCCACCGGCCATCAGAGCTGAAGAAGCATGCGGCGGTGCATCGTACCAAGAAGCCACACCAGTGCCGGCATTGCAGTTTCTGCACTGCCGATCCCTTTGTGCTCAGTCGCCACATCCTATCGGCGCACACCAAGGAGGTGCGGCCGCAGCCGTGCAGACCACCCTTAGGGGCCCGGGGCCCCAGCACCAGGGCCCCACGGGAGCGCCGGCTCTATCAGTGCCAGTACTGTGACTACAGCACCGGCGACGCCTCGGGCTTCAAGCGGCACGTCATCTCCATCCACACAAAGGACTACCCCCACCGCTGCCAGGCCTGTGGCAAGGGCTTCCGGCGGCCCTCTGAGAAGAACCAGCACATTCTGCGGCACCACAAAGAGCTGGCACCGGTGCCATAACACCTCCCTCCCTTTGGGGGGTGCTACCCTGCAGAGCAATTGGGGTTCCTCGCTTCAGCCCCATTGCGTGTTGGCAGGGTGTCCTCATTTAAATGAGGCCGATGGGCACTTCCTGTTTTGCTATGTGCCGCTTCTTTAAATCAAGGGGCAGCTCTGCTCCTTGGGTCGTTTGCACTATGAAGGTGGTGGCTTCTCTGCCTGTTGACCACGAGCTGCCTCTGGGAGTTGCTGCACGACTGCTCAGAAGTGCTCGGATTGCCCTGTTTGCTGCACTTGTGCCCCTGACAGCAGCTTCACTCTCACGCATCACACTGCTCTTCCCGGAGAGCTTTGCAGGAACACGGCATCTCGCAGGACGTGCCAACCTGCTACCACTCCCTCAGGAGGCTTTTCCCATCTCTGACATAAGACTGGATGCCGTGTCATGCTACGAAGGCGATTAGCTCCCTCAGGGTGACACAGCTGCCCCCTAGTGAGCTATAACAGCCACAACCAGCAGGAGTCTGATTATTTTGGACTGACAAATTAAGTTTGGGCCTTTAACCATAGGGCAGGTGGTAGTCTTGGGCCAACAGAATTAGAATTGTATTGTGGTAGACCTCCTGCTCCTGGCCCCAGTCAGCAAATTTTATTGCCAAATTTTCTAAATACGGGAATAGTGTTGCTTTTGAAAATACTGTCTAATATGGCAATACAGTGTCTGGACAGTAAGGAAGAATTAGATGTTGCCCAAGCCTGGTCTGTCCCTGGCCCTGGAATGCAGAGAAGAATAAACGCAGGGGCGGGGGAGTGTCCTGGTCTGGAAGTGACCTGGTGGAGGACAGTTGCTCACTATAAAATCGTGTATTTCCTGCTGCCGAGCTCCTTGACTCATCACTGTGCGACTGTTCATCACGTTGCTCTATGTAACAATGCAGATGATTATAATGTGCACAGATCAGTCACCCTGTGCCCAGGGAGGCCAGCAGGCCGGTAGCGTACTATCCATGATATATTAGTAAAGAAAGATGAAATAAAACTGACTGTTTCCCTTGGCTTGAATGTTTCTTTACAGGTAGTTTTGTAACCAGCATTATCAGACAGCAACTTGGGCTACGACAGCATAGCTTTAGGCGAGATGTGCTATCGCAGTAGTATACTCATTGGATGATTCAACCATCACAAGTATAAGAAAGAATCCTGTTGAGTAGCTGGTGGTCGTTTCATACAGATACAGGTATATAGTACCTTTAGCTATAGGCACCGTTATTCCTGCCTATACCTCTTATGACCTGCCTCCCTAGGTTTGGACCAAATGTACAGTGAGTAACCCTGACAATAATGGTCGTTACCTAATGTTTGGTGATGGTTTTGATTTCCATGGAGATTGGAGTAAAAGAGGGCAATGTAAGAGATGCACAGTGTCCCTAGTCAGATCCTGTGTGTGACGGCAGCTTTTTGTGGCTGTTCAATCTGCAGGCACCAGGCAACAGCCCCGGGATGCTGTCACTAGGTAGAGGGATGTAGCAGAGGAGCCCAATGGAGGAGATCCCCCACCCCTGGCCCCAGGCTGCTCCCTTGGCTTGAGGATGGGAATGAGGCTTAGTCACA